TAGGATAATTGAATTTTTTAATCAAATTTTTGCTGCAAGCTAATTTTTATTTTTATACATAAATGAATTAATCCAATATTCAATTGTAGTTGCTGAATCACATACGTTAAGTGTTCAGAGCGATGGTTTTTATTAATTTTTCGAATCTTTTATTTGGAATGCTTTTTTTTCCAAAAATCAATAATTTCGAAAACATTTATTTTAACGCTTATTTTGCTAAATTAATGGATAACGTACTGAGGACGCATCAGGAGGACGGGTTAGTGAGAGCACCTTTTTTGAAGATAAAATAGAAACACATGAGAACTTGCTCTTATAGGAACGTGCAAACTAACTCATATCGCAAATTTTTTAGTTTGCATTTACTAGTGAGAGCACTTTTTTTAATAATTTGAGGACTTGCTTTTAGTAGTAAATGCGAACTAACCCAAAATAACCCGTCCTCGCTTATTTTTCTAAATAAAAGGTACGACGACTAGGACGCATCACGAGGGCGGGTTATTTTGGGTTAGTTTGAAATAAATGTTTTTTAAATTAATATTTTCTAAATGATTGACTTTTGAAGAAAAAGTATTCGAGTTGAAAGATTTCGAAATAAAAGTTTCGAAATGTCTGTTCTCGAAATATGAGCTTAGACCCAAAATATTGTTCGAGATATGCCACAAATTGTTATATCTTTCTGGAAAAAAAAAAAAAAAGTTAATTAATGGATAACGTACTGAGGGCGCTTCATCAGAAGGACGGGTTAGTGAGAGCACCTTTTTTGAAGATAAAATAGAAACACATGAGAACTTGCTCTTATTAGTACATGCAAACTAACCTATCCTCGCTTATTTTTTAGTTTGCATTTACTAGTGAGAGCACTTTTAATTTTTTTTTAACAATTTGAGGACTTGCTTTAAGTACTAAATGCAAACTAACCGAAAATAATTCGTCCTCGCATATTTTTCTAAATAAGAGGATAGGTACGACGACTAGGGCGCATCACGAGGGCGGGTTATTTTGGGTTAGTTTGAAATAAATGTTTTTAAGATTAATGTTTTCTAAATGATTGACTTTCGAAAAAAGACTTATTCGAAATAAAAGATTTCGAAATAAAAGCATTCGAAATAAAAGATTCGAAATATTTATCTGTTTTCGAAATATGAGCTTAGACTCAAAATATTGTTCGAGATATGCCAAATATTGTAATATCTTTCTGGAAAAAAAATTAGTTAATAAGGCACTAGCTGACGTCACACACATAACCTCTCTTGGGGGGACATACAAAGCATTTGAAAGGCCTATTTAACACACAGGCGCTAGCTTGCCACCAATAACATAACGTGACTTTCGATAGGGGGACAAACATGTCATTGAGGTTATGTGTCGTCAGCTAGCACCTAATTGATTTCTAACACTAAAAATAAGTAGATACCTAAGTATAACAAATGTTATCAAAGTAGAGAATAGCATATTAAAATACAAGTTGCACAAGGACACATATTCCCACACGAATTCGAATTTTGGCCACGAGCGAAGAAGGAGCGAGTGGACGCACGAATGAGTGCGAGAATGGCCTTCTGCAACGAGTGTTTTATACGATTTTCTCGATTTTAGATTTACCAACGAACTGACAAAAGGATTTTATTATTTCAAAAGGTTCAACAGTTTTGAAGGTACCAATAGCTATACTTCGGAAACTCAACAAAAATCGTTAAAGAATGAGCTTCATTCGACATTTTTACACGAAAATCGAAAAAAAAACTTTTTTCTACAACTGTCAAAAAATTATGACAAACTCATGACAGTTTGTGAAGTGACACTTTTTTTCCCCGGTATTGATTTCTTAACGTTTCCATGACGCCGTGCGTGAACTAGCTATTTCGCACACCAGTGACTTCATCCAAACTTTATCCAGACTTGTACAGACATCCGGATTCTGGAAAATGATCCCCAGGTCTTTTGGGACCTTTTCCAGAATTTTTCCGACCCTTTCCAGAGATTTCCAGACAATATCCAGACTTGTCCAGAGCTTTACAGACTTTATCCAGACCTTTTCCAGACTTGTACAGACTGACTCGGTTTCTGGAAAATGATCCCCAGGTCTTTTGGGACCTTTGGCAGAATTTTTCCGACCCTCTCCAGAAACTTCCACGCTCTTTCCAGGCGTTTCCAGAGATTTCCAGACTTTTCCAATCATTTTCTAGACTTATCCAGGCTTTATCCAGATTCATCGAGACTTGTACAGACTGCTCCAGACCTTATCCTCATACACTTCCCAAGAGTCCAAAAGTTCGCACGCATTCCTATGTGCCCGTGCGATAAACATTTTCAATGTTTCTTACAAACATACAAACATACAAACAAACAAACAAACAAACAAACAAACAAACAAACAAACAAACAAACAAACAAACAAACAAACAAACAAACAAACAAACAAACAAACAAACAAACAAACAAACAAACAAACAAACAAACAAACAAACAAACAAACAAACAAACAAACAAACAAACAAACAAACAAACAAACAAACAAACAAACAAACAAACAAACAAACAAACAAACAAACAAACAAACAAACAAACAAACAAACAAACAAACAAACAAACAAACAAACAAACAAACAAACAAACAAACAAACAAACAAACAAACAAACAAACAAACAAACAAACAAACAAACAAACAAACAAACAAACAAACAAACAAACAAACAAACAAACAAACAAACAAACAAACAAACAAACAAACAAACAAACAAACAAACAAACAAACAAACAAACAAACAAACAAACAAACAAACAAACAAACAAACAAACAAACAAACAAACAAACAAACAAACAAACAAACAAACAAACAAACAAACAAACAAACAAACAAACAAACAAACAAACAAACAAACAAACAAACAAACAAACAAACAAACAAACAAACAAACAAACAAACAAACAAACAAACAAACAAACAAACAAACAAACAAACAAACAAACAAACAAACATACATTCATACAGGTGAAGCTAATAAAAGCGTTTTAAAAAAAAAATTATTCGATTAGCGTTTCAGATTCCGATGCTAACTTTCATATAATAATAATAATTGCACTTATTTACACTAAAAAATATAATTCAGGTTTTCGCGGCAACACCGCTGGGATTCGTAAAATCGAAGCAATATCAACACGATGTATGTTTCAGTTTACCGCCGGCACCCCCTTAACCGGGCTTCCACTCGTCGATAGTACATACCGGGCTTCGTATAGGTGACTTTATACGTATATATATATATATATATATATATATATATATATATATATATATATATATATATATATATATATATATATATATATATATTGTTTCAACCATCGTTCTCAAGCCCGATATATGTAACAGACAACCTCAGACCCACCAGAATAAATATGATTCTAGATGTATATAATGCGTCACTGTTACATACTAACTGCAAAGAAATAGGAACACATGTGAGGGGTAAACATTTATGGAAAAAATATTTTTTTATTATTCAATAAACGCTAACAGACCCAATATATGGAACAGACTTTTCGAACCCGTAATTACACATATCATATATCTAAACAACGTTATCAGGCCCGGCAATGTTGCCATTTCTATCGGTCCTAGATTGGGCGCGAAAAGTCGTTATAATAATATATCAACGATCGTGTATGCATTTCATTCTTAATGCGACGGTTATACTATTTGTGATAGTGCAACGTGCAAAATATTTCGGTTACACGAGACTATTCTGAGTAAGTACCTTTTTGCTATGTTTATAAATATTTAAAAATTGTACCTACAAATAATTATTAACCATTTCAGTAAGATTGAAAAAAAAAACAATAAAATAGCACATATTTTTTGAAATAAAAAAGTACCTATATTTTCATATTTTTCCTAAACCTCACATTTCCTGTGTGTATTTTATTTTATTTTCTACATATTAAGATTTTTTAGAAAAGGGTTCCCTAATTAATCACGATTGTGCTCAAACCGCTTGACGTGAAAAGCTGAATTTTGATTGTAGGGTGTAGAGTTTCGATAGGAAGGGATTTTTCCAAACTCAAATTACAAGGGGATGAAACCACCCCATAAATACTACATTATTTTTTTATCAGAAAAACGGTTAGTTTTTCGGAAAAACGCCTGAAGACGTGTATTTTATTTAATTTTTTTACATATTCTAAGATTTTGAAAAATATATATAGGGTGTTTCAAAAAATTCGGTTCATTAATTAATCACGATCCTGCTCAAACTGCTTGACGTAAAAAGCTGAATTTTGGCATACAGGTTGAGTGTAAGGTGTTGAGGTTCAATAGGAAAGGATTTCTCAAAAACTGAAATAATTTGAACCTTCTAATAATGAGGCATTAAATGAACTAAATATAATGAGAAATATTAAGTAACGTAATAAAAATTAAAAACTTGAAAACAAAATAAGTAAAAAAAAGTTTTTAAGTTAAACGTTTTTATTGAAAATAATACTAATATTCGAGTTAATACTAAATAATAATAATACTAAAAAGTTAAAAAATAATTCGGTAGGTCCTACCTAGGTACTAGTCATCACAACACCCTTATCATTAATCTAGGGCAATGATCAGACAACAAAATTAAATCGTTGGGCGCGTGAAATTTCTATCGATAGTCAACCGGTCATTTCGTTATAAATTATATTTACATACATACTATTGATAGAAATTTCACGCGTACAACGATTTTATTTTTTTGTCTGATTAATGATGAGAGTGGTGTGATGACTAGTACCTAGGACCTACCGAATTATTTTTTAACTTTTCAGTATTATTATTATTATTTAGTATTAACTCGAGTATAAGTATTATTTTCAATAAAACCGTTTAACTTAAAAACATTTTTTTACTTATTTTATTTAAGATTTGAATTCTCACGACTATATTCATATTATTACTTACTACTGATTGATAAATACAACATTTAAAATATCTGCAATATTTGCAATTTACAGACACATAAAATGGCTACTAGAGCAGCTAAAATTCTGAAATTATTGTCTAGTGAACAAAAAAACTCATTGGAGCTTCCACTTCCAAAATATAAATCGAAAAGGGATTGTACAAAAGAAAAGCGATTAATGGCATACAAAGACGAACCACTTGTTGGAGGTAAAGAAATAGTAGCCCCTGAATCTACAAATCAAATATTTGAGCAAAGTTTGCAAAATACGGAGCAGGAATGTTATGTAAATGAGCCTACCTGTATCGAAGAAAAAAAACAGAATAACTGCAAATCAGATGATTATCAAACGGAAGAGAAATTATTTGAATCTTCCGGTAGCGAATATATTCCAGACACGACTGATCATGATGAAACCGATGAAAATAGTAATATTTCGCTTTTAAGTCAAATAGTTATGGCGATACCAGAGGAAAATGAATCTTCCTTCACCTGCAACAGAGGAATAGAAAATCGAAATATTTGTAAGTATAAATTACCTATATTAAAACCAATTTTCTATCTACTTTTTTAGTAGATTGAAAATTGGTTATGTTGGGGTCTTCTAGCTCTAGAAATATACAGGGTGTCAATTCGAAAACTTCCACCCCTATTATCTCGGAGTAGAAAAATTTTCGGGGATAATACCACGAGAGCTTCAAAATTACCGATAATTTTGACGAGTGAAATTACAGAAAACACGCATGAGTGAAAAATTATCTAGTCCATTTTAAAACTCGAGTGGTATTTAGAGGATTATTTCACGAATGAAAATGCAAAAAATATGGAAATAAATAGGTATGTTGCTAACAGCATCCATTTGTTTGTATTGATATTGATTGATATAAGATAACATGGGAGAATTATCGCTGTCATTCTCTCTAGTTAAACTTATGGGAATATGGGAAAAAGAATTTTCGCTAAAATCGTCACTTGTCTTATGGGATTTCTAGCACATGAGTGGAATAATCGGAAAAATCCCTGAAACACGTCAACTATAATTTGAAGGGGGATGAGTTTTTATGAAAAATTCACCTCCCCTCTTTCAACCCCCCAGCCCCCAGAGCCACCCTCTAGAAAATCCTAAATGGGAAGGGGGGTCAAGTAATACATCATTTTGTAGGGTTTTTAATTCCATACATTTTGGTACCAAATTTCAATACCTAAGTTCAACTGTTTTGGAAATATTGACAGTTGGAAATTGACTTTTTTGCAACTTTGAAAGGCTGTAAAACCTAAACGGTTAGTTTTAGAGGAAAACCGTTCTTACATTCTTATCTTAGATTCTCATAAACTATCATTCAACATCAACTTTGAATTTAACCGGAGATTAAATTTAATTGGAATTTTCAATCATGAATTAAATTTAAAGTTGGTGTCAAATGATAACCTATGAAAATCTAAGACAGAATGTAAGATCGGTTTTCCTCTAAAATTAACCGTTTAGGTTTTACAGCTTGCCAAAATTGGAAAAAAGTCAATTTTTAACTGTCAGTATTTCCAAAACAGTTGAACTTACGTATTGAAATTTAGTACCAAAATGTATGGAATTAAAAACCCTGCAAAATGATGTATTACTTAACCCCCTTCCCATTTAAGATTTTCTAGGGGGTGGCTCTGGGGGCTGGGGGATTGAAAGAAGGGAGGTGAATTCTTCATAAAAACCCATCCCCCTTCAAATAATAGTTGACGTGTTTCAGGGATTTTTTCGAAAATTTTTCTACTCCGAGATAATAGGGGTGGAAGTTTTAAAAATAAACACCCTGTATATTATAAAAGTTATTTGCCAATAGTCACATCAAAGAGACGTCACCACTTAGACATAGCTCTTTTACCTTTCACTAATATTATTTATTCATGTTTATGTTGTCCATGCCATATTAGTGATTACTTCAATCATTCGCTATTTGTGATATTTGTTTTAATGATAATTTTGTAAATACATACTATATGATTTGATATAGGTACCACTGTGTCTAAAAAAAAATCATTTTTTAGCAAATATAGGAAATGAAGCAAATTCTTCCAGGGGCAATAAACAAATTAATAATGACGAATCCTTGCCCAGTAATGTAAGTAAAAAATTATCAACATTTAGACAATAAAAAAAAATATATTTCTATTCGCAGATATCAACGCTACTGCTCGATTTATCCAGTGAAGAAAAGGTATTTTGTTATCTTCAAAATTGTAAAGAAACTCAAGATTTGGACCCATATGAATTCAGCGTAGAAGGACCTGTGGATAAATCATATAATAATATTATTGAAAAAAGCCTTTGCTACCTCCCCTATCTAGATATCGTGGATCCTGCAACTATTAGAAATAAAAAAGAAAAAATTATTAGTTTGACTAAAGATAATGAGAAGGACCAACTAGAATCTGCACATGACAGCCAGTTAATTTCTCCAAATGCTGAAACAATGGACTTAACAAACCAAACAATGGACTTAACAAACCAAACAATGGACTTAACAAACCAAACAATGGACTTAACAAACCAAACAATGGACTTACCAAACCAAACAATGGACTTACCAAACCAAACAATGGACTTACCAAACCAAGTGCAGATTACAAATAATTCTGAATCGATTGAGAATAAAGCAACATCTATATGTATAACAGAACATGCCACCCGGTTCAACGTACAAGTAACAGACCCACAAATATTTACAGCAGCAATTACCAGTAACAATAGTGCTGTCGATATTTGTGCGTTAGAACGCGAAAATCCAGAGGCAAATTCGTGCTTCTCCGATGATGCATCGGATTTATCATGCAATGAAAATTCCGACGAAAGCTATAAACCATCCTCATATCAGTCTAATTCTTCTATTGATGGGGATGGGAAAGATTCCAATAACATGTACTCTGATGAGGACCAAGTGAGTAGAGTTTATGATGTATGCAAGCAAACATTAACATGGCTCATTAAAATAACGATTACTAATAAATTTCAAGGCTCTGCCTCTTTTTTGTTTTTCAGTAAATACGCTTCCGATGCAATTTTTCGTTCATGTAGAATGTATTTTTACATTTTGAAGCACATTTCTAATTTTAGGAAAAGCTTATATCAACAATTCATTTTCCAACTACTTCTACTTCATTGGAAAACACTGAAGCGAACACTGACAAAGACCTTTGCCCATTTTGCTTTGAAGAAGTTGGACATTTTTCACGTCATTTGAAAAGAAAACATTCCGAGGAAGATGCAGTTAAAAAGATCTTAGAAATGAAATACAATAGTAACGAAAGAAGAGCCGCCATAATAGCTTTGCGAAAAAAGGGCAATTTCATATTAAAAACAGAAAAAAACTTCCTGAAACCCGTGAGAAAAGTTAAAAACCGCAACCAAATCGATGGAGACTATTATCCATGTACCGGATGTTTGGGATACTACAAAAAAACATACTTGTGGAGGCATAAAAAAATCTGCACAGCGACAACTTCTCATAATAAAGATGGTCCAAAAGTCCAACATCTTACTGAAGCCCAAACATTTCTAGCAGCAACTGGTTTACTTGGCAATTATTTGGAAAAAAGCCGGCTAAAGGCAGAAGTCTTTCCAATAATGCGAGCCGATGAGATAAGTTATACTGCCAAAAAAGATGCATTAATATGTCTTTACGGTGAATCTTATTTGAACAAGCACAAAAGAAAGCAAATGACCGTTGTTACCTCAAACAGATTACGAGAAATAGCCCGACTTAAATTAGCATTACAAAAATTTACCACTATTGAGAATTGCATTGACTTTTTAAAACCAGAAATGTACGATAATATCATAACTGCATCCAAACTTATTAGTGGCTTTAACAGCGAAACAAAAACATTTAAAGCATCATCGTTAGCTCTACATCTGGGAACAAATTTGAAGTTTCTTTGTGACGTTGCCAAAAAGGCTTTAATAACAAGAAATCCTTTATTTCCTCGACTAACTGATACTGAAAAATATGAAAAATTGAAAGACATATCTGAAGTTCGAGACCTAATAAAGAATCACTGGTGCAACGATATATCAAGTTTAGCAAATAAAGTGCTAAATGAGGTCCAGTTAGAAAAACCCAAGTTATTACCACTAACGGAAGATATCAAATGTTTTAATAATTATATTTCCACAAAAGCAATTGAGGCCTATGAGAAGTTGCAAGAAAAAGAAAATGTAACCAATAATTATAAATTGCTTGCTGAGTGTACTCTTTGCCTTGTGTTAGTGTTCAACAGAAAAAGGATTGGCGAAATCCAATTTTTAGATATTCAGTCTTACGAAAAAGATTATTCTTGTTCAAATTCCGAAGAATTTTTGAACGCTCTTACGGAGTTCGAGAAAAATATGAGTTCATGTTTTAAAAGGGTCGTTGTATTTGGAAAGGGAAGTAAACCAGTTCCAATATTATTTACAAAACAGATGCAAACATATATCGGCGCACTCCTTAAAATTCGAAAAGACTATGACATTGTTCCCAAGACAAACAAGTACGTATTTGCAAATCCTGGTTCAGCAGATAGATGGATGCCTGGATCGTACTTAATTCGAAAATTTGCATATAAATGTGGTGCTAATAAGCCACAGCTACTAACATCAACTAAATTCAGAAAACAAATTGCTACAATTCTTCAGCTAATGAATTTTGAGAATGATGAAATGGAACAGATTGCTCGATTTATGGGACATACTGAAAAAACACACAGAGAATTTTACAGGTAAGCATTTATCCTTTATTGATCCATAAACTGTTTTCCTTATTTAATACTTTAGATATTGGTAGTAAGGCATTTGGGCATAGCTGGAAAAAATACTTTTGAAAAGTATTTAAATACTGAATATTAAATACCTAATAAATACTGAAAGTATTTAAATACTAAATACTATTTGACTTGAAAATAAGTATTTAAATAAATTTATTAGGCAAATACTTCATTTAAATACTTTAATAGTTATTTTTGTATCTAGTGCGCGAAATGCTACTTTGGTGATCGAGAACTGATTTTTTTAACGAGGCGCAGCCGAGTTAAAACAATTGTCGAGATCACCAAAGTATTTCGCGCACGAGTTGCAAACAGCATTTTTTCTACAACTCCATTTAAATATCGATCATTGAAAGCCTAAATTGCATTTTCAATCAAAGGCAGGTTAATTTTAATTATTTTTGGTTTCCTGGCAGGTGTCAGGTATTCGACATTTCGCACACTGGAGAATCATTTCGCGCACGGCGCCATGGGAACGTTAAAAAAAAAATCTACCTGGGGAAAAAAATGTCACTTCGCAAATTGTCATCAGTGTGCAAACATCATCATTTTTTGACAGTTGTAGAAAATAGTTATTTAAACAACAAGTCTTGAAAACGACTTTTTTCACACGGCGAGACAGTTTATTGGACCGAGCCGAAGGCGAGGTCTACAAGTCGAGCGAGTGTGAAAAAAGGTTTTCAAACGAGTTTTTTTACAATTCTTTTTCTACAACTGCCAAATAAAACAACCAAATACGTATTTTTATTTGTTAGAAAACAAATCATCAACATCAAAAAATAGTGAAAGTCGCAATTTATGTTGTCGTGTCAAAGATAGGACCCAAGACCCAAATAAAATAAAAAATTAATTAGCAGCGTGCAAAAAACTTTTTCACACGCTGAGCAGCGTGTGAAAAACTTCATTTTCAGAGGCAGTCGTAGAAAAAAATTATTTAAATAATTTTATAAGGCAAATACTTTATTCAAATGCTTTAAAAAGTATTTAAATACTTTTATAAGGCGAATAGCGAATACTTTATTCAAATATTTTGAAAAATATTTAAATTCTTATTTATATAATATAAAAATCAATGTTTATGTACCTACTTTTGGAAAGTATTTAAATCCCAAATATTTCAAAAAGTATTTGCATTCACAAATACAAATGGCAGTTTCAACAAAGTATTTAAATACTTTAAAGTATTTAAGTACTTTAAAGTATTTTTCCTACAACTGTCTCTGAAAATGGAGTTTTGCACACGCTAGAACCTCTCCTTTTGCGTGCGAAAAAGTTTTTCGCACGCTGCTAATTAGTTTTTGTATATATTTGGGTCCTCTCATCCTGACATGACAACGTCAATTGCGACTGTCACCAGTTTTTGATGTTGATGATTTATATTCTATCAAATAAAAATTACGTATGTGGCTGTTTTATTTTGCAGTTGTAGGAAAAGCATTGTAAAAAACTCGTTTGAAAACCTTTTTTCACACTTGCTCGACTTGTGGACCTCGCCTACGGCTCGGTCCAACAAACTGTCTCGCCGTGTGAAAAAAGTCGTTTTCAAAACTTGTTGTTTAAATAACTATTTTCTACAACTGTCAAAAAAAGTTGATGTTTACACACTGATGACAATTTGCGAAGTGACACTTTTTTTTCCAGGTATTTTTTTTTTAATGTTCCCATGACGCCCTGCGCGAAATGCTTCTCCAGTGTACGAAATGCCTATTTCGCGCACGGAGTCATGGTGACAAATACCTGACAGGTAATCAGAAATAATTAAAATTCAGCATTTCGCACACTAGATACAAAAATAACTATAAATACTTTAAAGTATTTAAATACTTAAAAGTATTCAGGAATGCAAATAGTCCCAGCTCTGCATTTGGGATGGCTTTTTTTTTTAGATTTTCAACTCCTCCTTACTGCAATACTATTTTGAACTACTTGTCTTCTCTCTGCAAATTTTTCGAAATATTTCATGTCTCCTTTACTTTTTTAAGGCTAACTGAAGACATATACCAAACTGCGAAAGTTGCCAAAGTACTTATATTATTAAACGCAGGTAAAGGAAACGAATTCAAAGGAAAATCTTTAACCGAAATAGAAGTCAATCAAGATGTTTTAGAATATGACGACACAGATGACTTATGTGATAAACTTGACAATATTGAAAGCAACCAGCCTGTTGCAACTTTACCTTTAACACGCGCAGATAGTCCCAGTGAGACTACTGATTCAATGTCGGAAAATAAAGCGGAGGTTCCAAAAACAACATCCAAAAAATCGCCTGGAGCGAATGTCTCCAAACTTCGGGGTGGACGTGTACGTTGGACACAACAAGATAAAAATCGCGCAGACAGTCCCAGTGAGACTACTGATTTAATGCTAAAAAATACAACGGAGGTGCCAAAAACAAGAGTCAAAAAATTGCCTGAAGCGAATTTCTCCAAACTTCGGGGTGGGCGTGTACGTTGGACTCAAGCGGACAAAAATCTGGTACTAAATTATTTTAAAAAAAATATAAAAGGCAAGTTTGTGCCAAGAAAACAAGATTGCTTAGATTTTATCCGAAAAAATAGTTCATCATTCAAAGATAGTGATTGGGTGCGAATCAAAACGTTGGTATATAACTCTTATAGGATCTAACTTTTTTGATGACATTTACCTTCACTATTTTTATATTTTCATTTATTGATTTCAGTTAATAAATATTATTTCACCGATAATTTGTTTTTCATTTAAATAAAATGGCATTTTCATAAGTTATATGGTTTCCTGAAAACAAGTAGAGGTGTCTCTAAGAAGACTGAATGCTCAAGAGGCATTTTGTGGTGGAAGGTAATTCGTATAGAGAAAACCAAATGGCAACGAGTGCAACGACCTAATTGAATGCTCAACGCGATGCGTGATAATATCCTCCCTCATCCTTCAAATGCAAACTCGGAAAGATCTAAAATCTAGAGATAATAGTTCTCCGAAATCAAATATGTTGTTTTCTGTGGTAGTAAAGTACTTTGCTATTCTTGAAAAAAATATTTATAAATAATTTTTAACAGTAATAGCAAAGCACGTATTTATTTTAAAAAAGGGCATTTCTGGAGAAGCAAATAGATACTTGGTAAAACAGTTAATTTGTGGAATAGGAAATACTCTATTCTAATTTCAAGAAGGTATGTTGCAATTTTAGTAAAGCTGTGACTGAAAAGTTAATTTTACTGGCCCAACAAAGTAGGTACCTATTTTTATAGGTAGGTACCGAAAACATTCTGCCTGTGTTAGCCAAAAAAAAGTTTAGGAAATTTAGGCAATTTTCTCAGTGTAGGTTTACATGAACTCCATAACCAGGTACAAGTTATCGAAATCCAGGTAACTATAGTTATCAACTGTTACGCCTGGATTTATATTTTATTCTCTAGTTACATAGCTATCGCCAAAATTTAACTGAAAATTATAAAAAATAAAGGAAAATATTATACTCATTCATATTTTTATACCATTTTTTGAATATAAGGAACTTGCAATTAACTGCAACTATTGACTTTCCTCTTCTAATAATCGCTTTTTCAGTGAAATAGGCCCATTCAATTGTACAAGTACACTGTTGCCAAAAGATGGGTTTTGTAACGTCGGTAAGATGTGCTTGTCGCAAGATCGCGTATAAGAACCATATGTGTAAAACCGATGCGCCCCCTAGGCGTTTACCTGTTGAACTTATTCTGTATTAAAAAGTATGTTGTACCGACATTTCAGACCCTGCCAATATTTTGTCCCCCTTGCCCCTTGACCCAACTGACTACTTTTCTATAGGTAAACGTTGTCGAGCCCGGAGGTGGGCCTGACAACGTCAATTTTGGTCTGGGAAGTCGGTCGCATATACCGATTTGGGCCTGTATAATCGGTATAACAAATCTATATATATATATATATATATATATATATATATATATATATATATATATATATATATATATATATATATATACAAAATCCTATCATTGCTGCGTCCATCAACTTCCTCAAGACATACACTATTGCTTCCTTCGAATTACTGCGTCCGAATATCGGACGCAACAATGTCAACTCATATTTTTGCGAGTTCCCGTCAATTTTTAAACAAAATTTAGGCGCGAACAGGTGACAGAAGTTTCTAAGTTTCCTTTCCACAATAAAAAGTGGAAGCATCTATTGGGATTTTTATGATTTTACTGGATTTTCTGTTTGGGAGTGGACGCAATAATATTCGTGTTAAAGATAAAAATGTATACTATTAGTTCATCGATTCTCCGGTAGAGGTGCGAAAATAATATACAGAGTCAAGTATACAGTATATAAACCTAGTATGTTATTGCGTCCGAAACTTGACAACATGGCAATCTATTTTTATCTCGGGATTTTTGTGTGGTGTGATGTTTTGTATCGTGTCATCATTTTAGCAGAAGCCAAAGCCATTGTTGCTTCCAGTCAGCAAATATGAAACGCAGTGTGAGAATATTAGGTTTATGCCACAGAGGACCCAGAGAGTCATAATAATATACAACTTTTTTAACAATGATAGTGTAGGTGCTGGATGGAGTTCGAGAGGTCATAGCTTCTTTGAAAATATTATGCCCTAAAACACTTGCCATGATTTGTATTCAATTTGTAAGTTTTGATGAAATATTAAAATATTGCAACAACAATGCAACCTATTTGCATTTTACTATCTTTGTAATAGTATTTCTACAATTTTTTTTTCTTCATATACTTATATCGCTGGCATCAGTGAACTTCAACGTAAATATTGAATTTCTAAACTCAAAAACAATTGAATGAAGACGCGTATAATAGCTGGGTTCGGTAATTGCATCTGCGAGCGAAGTGAGCAAAATTTGACAGACGTCACGTGATCACTTATCTCTTTTCGCGTGTCAATTACCGAACCCAGCTATTATACACGGCTTCATTCAATTGTTTTTGAGTTTAGAAATTCAATATTTGTGTTGAAGTTCACTGATGCCAGCGATATAAGTATATGAAGAAAAAAAAACTATAGAAATACTATTACTGAGATTTAAAAATGCATACTATTTGATAGTGATATTTGAATATTTCATCAAAAATTACAAATTAAATACAAAACCTAGCAGGTGTTTTAGGGCGTAAAAAACAATAAACAATTCTTCATATTATTATATTTATTTATTTATATAAACACCAAACTATACAAATTCAAAGCTATAAATGATAAATTTGTTAACCAAAAATAAATGAAAGAATTTGAAAAAAAAAATGCTAATGCTAAATTCACCAATATAAGCATTACATTCAAACTAACATTTATCTAGCTGAATGGGTCACTGAATGTCACTTTAAACAAATTCCAGCTTTAAATTTGGCGTGGCATATGTTGCATTTAAAATTCCTCCTATTTGAGTGTGTTAATAAATGACTCTTCAAATTGTATTTAAGTTTAAATTTTACAGTGCAAGTGTTACATTCAAATAGAAAAATATCCGAATGTGTTAGTTTGTGAATCTTTAAGCGCCGAATTTATAGTCGTTCCTCGAATCTTCCTTGGAGTCGCGAATTTAGAATGGACACTTGCCACTATTTGACAAGTCAGTGATGTCAATTCTAAACGTTCAAGGCTTCCTTAAGGTCTGAGGAAACCTCAAGGACCTACAATAAATTCGGCCCTAAATCGCCTCTCTGTTTAAATTTTGATTTGCATGTGCCACATTCAAAAGGATAAATATCCGAGTGTATTGATACGTGCCTTTGCAAATTACCTTTTTCTTTAAATTTTGCATTGCAAATGTCACATTTAAAAAGATAAATATCCGAGTGTGTTGAAATGTGCCTCTGCAAATTACCTTTATGTTTAAATTTTGCATTACAAGTGTCACATTCAAATAGATAAATATCCGAATGTGAATCTTTAAAATGTGTTTCCGTTTGAATTTTGATTTGCAAGTGTCTCATTCAAAAGGAAAAATATCTGAGTATGTTGATACGTGTTTTTGCAAATTATATGGTATGCTGGGTTCGGTAATTGCATCTGCGAGCGAAGTGAGCAAAATTTGACAGATGTCATGTGATCTGACACGTGAAAAGGGATAAGTGATCACGTGACGTCTGTCAAAATTTGCTCATTTTGCTCGCAGATGCAATTACCGAACCCAACATACCATATAATTTGCAAAGACACGTATCAACACACTCGGATATTTATCCTTTTGAATGTGGCACTTGCAAATCAAAATTCAAACGGAAACACGTTTTAAAGATTCACAAACTAACACATTCGGATATTTATCTATTTAAATGTGACACTTGCAATGCAAAATTTAAACAAAAAGGTAATTTGCAGAGGCACATTTCAACACACTCGGATATTTATCTTTTTAAATGTGACATTTGCAATGCAAAATTTAAAGAAAAAGGTAATTGGCAAAGGCACGTATCAACATACTCGGATATTTATCCTTTTGAATGTGACAGATGCAAATCAAAATTTAAACGGAAAGGCGATTTAAAGATTCACAAACTAACACATGCTCTTGTGAATTTTAGAGTTGTGAAAGGATAGCTCTAATACTGATATTGTTTGCATCTGAGTGCAAAATCAACATGTCTTCTGATCGGGATAGGACAACACTCGACTTGTACATAATGCTCGTTTTAATTTTCTACATGTGGAATCGTATTCTTGGGTTCAATTGAATGTTGACTTTTCTTTCGTTAATCGATGAAGCGGAGCAGCTATATTAGGGAATCCTTCTACAAATCTTCGATAATAAGAACACAATCCTAGAAAACTCCTCAGTTCATGTTTGTCGCGTGGTTTTGGCCCATCTCTGACAGCATCTATCTCTCCTTTCATAACTTATATGCCAACTTCAGATACCACGTGACCTAAGAGTTCCACTTTCTTTTGAAATAGAAAACACTTCTTTGGATTGAGTTTTTAAGTTGGCATTCTGGAAGCGGTCAAAAACTTGTTTCAGGTTATTGAGATGTTCTTGGAATGAATTTCCCATGATCAGACATCATCCAAATATACCAGGCAAGTTCTCCATGTAATAAATTTCTTAACCAAAAATAAATGGAAGCGTTTGAAAAAAATTCTAATGCTAAATTCATCAATATAAGCATTTCATTCAAACTTACATTTATCCAGCTGAATGGGTCACTGAATGTCACTTTAAACAAATTCTCATTTGAGTGTGTTAATAAATGACTCTTTAAATTGTATTCAAGTTTAAATTTTTCAGTGCAAGTGTTACATTCAAATAGATAAATATCCGAATGTGTTAGTTTGAGAATCTTCCAATCGCTTTTCCGTTTAAATTTTGATATACAAGTATCACATTCAAAAAGATAAATATCAGAATATGTTAATTTGTGACTATTCAAATTACCTTTCTGTTTAAATTTTGCTTTGCATGTGTCACATTCAAATGGATAAATATCCGAATGTGAATCTTTAAAATGTGTTTCCGTTTGAATTTTGATTTGCATGTGTCACATTCAAAAGGATAAATATCCGAGTTTTTTTGCTCATTTCGCTCGCAGATGCAATTACCGAACCCAGCATACCATATAATTTGCAAAGACACGTATCAACACACTCGGATAATTATGCTTTTGAATGTGGCACTTGCAAT